GGAAAACTCTGGAGAGAGCTTATAGATTTTAAATATAGGACATCTAAACCAAATGTCTTTTGCTCCAAAACTAATGGTGTGTCTAGCTTTTTTAAGGGGTTCATGTGGGCTGCTCAGGCAGCTAGGATGGGTTATATCTGGAAAATAGGTAGAGGGGATAAGGTGAGGTTTTGGGAGGATAATTTGTTAGGTTCTTCGAGTCTTGCAATCCAGTTTTGGAAATTGTACAGAATTGTAAATGAGAAGAATGCTACTGTTGACGTGGGTTGGGATGGGTCCTCTCTGAAATGCTCTTTTAGAAGAAACATGGATGATAATCTAGAGCAACAGTGGGAGGAAGTTTGCATGTTAGCTTCGACAATTACCTTTTCTAGTGAGGAGGACTCACTGATTTGGAAATTTTCATCTTTTGGTTTATACTCTACACAATCCTTATATAGGGTGATTAATTTTAGAGGGACTCAACCGGTTTTAGTGCCTGCTATGTGGTCTATTAAGGTTCCCTCTAGAGTTCATTTCTTTCTTTGGTTAGTTTCCAAAAACAAAGTGTTGACTAGAGATAATTTAGGCAAGAGAAGGAAAGTTAAGGATCCTACTTGCTTGTTCTGTTGTGAATCTGAAACTGTACATCATCTTTTCTTTGATTGTGTGGTGGCTACCCAACTTTGGAAGGTTTTATCTGTAGTTTTGAATGTTAGTCTTGGGGGTTCCTTAGATGAGGTGGGGAAGTATATTGGCTTTCCAACAAAAAACATTGTGTCACTAATATCACCTCATCTGCTGCGATTTGGAGCATTTGGAAACTGAAAAATAATCTATGTTTTCAGAGAAGTGGGTGGAAGAGTATGGAAATACTCTATCAAATGGTCATTGGTATGATGCAGAATAGGCACAGGACCGTCTGAAGAGTTCTATTGCCGAGCTCAAACTTCAAGCAAAGATGTCAATATGGTTGCCGCCCCGTTGAACACCCAAGACTGGTTACCAGAGATCTCGTTGCTGACTTAGGAAGAAGACAAGGCTGGAGTGATCAAACCGTTTTTTCATGTATGGAGGATGCCTTGAAGATTTCAATCTTGGGGTGTGGTCTGTTCTCTACGGTTCTCGGAGGCGTTTTCATGTTATCTTGTAATTCGGCTTCCTAGTGCCATGATGGCACCTTAGAACTGTGTTGTTAAAGGATTTGTGTTGGTCTGGATACTGAGTGGCATGCCACCAGATATGCTGTAATGACGTTTCTTGTCTTTTATCTAATGATGGAAGACGGGGACCATATGGTCCTAAAACTCTAAAAAAACTAATTCACGAGAATAAATTTATTAAACCTAATTAATCCATCATTATCATATGTTACTGTAGCACTACATTGTCAAATCATAGACTAATTAGACGTAATAGATTCGTCTTGTAAATTAGTCTCAATCCGTGCAATTAATTTTATAATTAGTCTATATTTAATACTCTAAATTAGTGTCAAACATATGATATGACAGGAGCTAAACTTTAGGAGGGGGAAGCCAAACACCCCGCCCAAGATTTGGATGCAATTCCGGCGGCTCTTGGATCAGGCAATTCATGGGATTTATATGAAAACAACTTTTATTGTAAGAGTTTTACATTATTATTATTATTATGGTGCGAGCACCAGGGCCGTGCGCCCTTGCTCTAACGTGGAAAAGAGAAAAGGGAGGAGAGAGAATAAGATGGTTCAAATGAACCGCCAAGAGAGATGAAAGAGATGAGGATTTTACTTATGGTCCTGTTCGCTTGAACTTATCAGTCGTACCGTTTCAGCGAAATAACAGTGTTTTTCTCTTACAACAAATCAACATCAGCATTAGCATCAGCCGTTTTATCAGCTAGCCGAACAGGGCCTATATCAGAAGCATACCCAGCGCGTTGCTGCGGGAATTGTTGTTGATTTAGAATAAAATTAGACTATATAAAAGAATTAATTATTATAAATTAATGTTAGTAGATGGTGTGGCATTCTCATGTGGACAATTAGATGCATGCGATGGATGGTGTGTCTCCTTGGCATGGATATCAAGGGCTGTTTGGGAGAGCGTGCTATAGCTTTAGCTTCTCCTAAGAGAATCACTTTCAACTAGCCAAACGGTCAAAATGTCAATTCATTCAGGTGGGGATCAGGGAAGAATTACTTCTCCATTTACACTAGGAGCTGGGAGCTAAAAACCGGCTTCACCCTGCTCCTTGTTATATTCTAACAAGGGCAAAGACTCCATTTTCATCAGCTCACACTCCGCTCCCACCTAGAAATCCAATGGAATTACTCCATTGCCCCATCAGAAAGAATCAAGGAACAGAGCTAAAGAATCAGGGAGCGGAGCTCTTCCAAACAGGGCCTCATAAATGCATGTGCTGGTGGGCTTTAATTATATGTGATAGTGGATTGTTGAGGTCGATAGCTTGTATGTCAAGATAGATTGCTAGTGAGGTCTAGGAGCATCTCCAAGACTCTCCATGTACTTCCTAAATGCTAGGAATAGAGATTTTGGTGAAAACTATCCTCCCACGGTTCCTCTAAATGGTTATCCAAATATAACTATCTTCTATTCTGGATTTTTCGTTAGCAAAAAATAGAAGACGATAATGGCTCGCTAGAGTGCGTATGAGATATAGAAGAACTATTAGAGAATGAAAAGTTATAGAAAGCGATTTTATGCAAACAATTCTCCAAATGATGATTTAGAGAGTGAGATAGATATAGGTATAGATATAGATTAGCCATAGATGAAGAGATGTTTTTATACTCCGTAAAAAAATTGTGAATACAAACATTAATGGTGGTGTAGATGTGTGGGGGACAGGGAGGTGACAGCTAATGTATTTGGTGCAGCCCAACCAGCTCGCGTGGATCTTGGCCCGGGCTTCCAATTTAAATATACTTATCTACTCTCATCTTATAATAAACCACCTTACGTATGGGTTTATACTTATTTGTCAATTTAAATATGTTACTCATTTTAAGATATTTTAAATCCTACTAGATAATGCCCGTGCGTTGCACAGGGCAACGAATTTGTATCCATTTGTACAACGATGCACGTGTCTTATGGTTTAGACAAACAAATTAACAATTTTTATCCATATCTACGACGATGCATATGTCTTGTGGTTTAGGCGAACATATTAAGAAATATACAAATTGGATTACATAAAGCCTATTTCATGATCTTTATGATATATACCGTGTACATCTGGTTTATAGAAACCTAGCAAAATTAGTTTTATTTTTTAATTATCATTCCTTTGTTTCATCATTATACATTTTCAAAATTTAATAAATCTAATAAACACTTTTGCATTAGAATCCTAAACTATTTCTAAATTCATCCCGGTTTTATTTCTTCTATGTGGACGTGGTAGACTAACGGGCCAAGTTGTCATGTGCGGGCATTAGTTAAATCACCACGCAACGGAGTCATCTGTTACGTGCGTGCAGGAGGGTCGTCAACCCCACGGGCCACGCCACGTCGTTCCTTCGTTCATGCTCTCGCACGAGGGCGAGCGGGTTGCAGACATGCGACCGCCCGCGCACGTGGAGAGCGGGGCGCAGAGCCGCAGAAGCACGGGCACATGTGCACGGGCGGGCGAGCGAGGCAAGCGTTGGTAGGTGCCCACCGCCGGCGGCACAGGTTGGAGCTAGGGCGCGCGTGGGGTGAAGCGGAGCACACGGCAAGCACGTACGTCGCAGAGCGCGGCGAGCGCCACGGCAGCTACCAGCACATACTGCAGCATCACGTCGCTCGAGTCCATGGCGAGACGCGTGCTCCCGCGTATGCCGGGACTACACATGGCAGCAACCAGCGGTCTCAGGTGTCCGCCGCCGTCGACGCAGGCTGTAGCTAGGGCGCACGCGCGGGCGTGTTCTTTTTTTTTGCGGGAGGTGGGGCTCGACAGGCGGGGCGACGTGGGAGCGTGTCGGATTCACGTACCGGACTCGCCATTATAAGCTGTGGCGGAGCAAATTAACTTGGCATTTGGGCGACGCGGACTCTCAGACGTGGACCCACGCGGGCGGGGCGACGGGAGCGTGCGGATTAAGCTTGGCGAAGCGAAATAAATTGATGTCCGACGATGACATTGGGAATATTTTAGGTGTAGAGATGCATATGTGCGTGATTTGTTTCGTCGGTGTCAACAAAGACTTCCTGTTTCGTCATTGTCAGCAAAGATTTCGTGTGTATGAGTATGAATATGTATGCGATCTTTTTTGTTGTCGTAAGTAAAGCCCTTGCTGAATTCCTCTGTTTGAATATGTGCTTGATCTGTTTCATTTGCATCTGTTTCATCTGCATGTAATCAGTCCTTTATATGATTTTCGATGTGGAAGAGTTTATTTCGAAAACGTTTTTTTTTGTTGTATATGATTTTCGATTTGGAAGAGTTTGTTACGGAAACTGTTTTTTTGGCGTATATGTTTTTTTCGGTGTCAGCAATAGGCGCGGCCAAAAGTGTTAGTTTTAAAAAAAAATTAAACAGTGTTAGATTTAAAATTAGTTTACAAAAATGTTAAAAATAAAAAAAATCCGTATGGATGCATACTTATTTATCAGTTTAAATATACTACTCATTTTAAAATATTTTAAATCTTACTAGGTGACAAACATTTCAAACAAACCTATACATTTTCGTATTTTATTTATAATATCATCACAGTAGTATATAAAAAAAATGACCACATACTCTATGCATACTTACACATACAACATAATACTACTTTGGGTGATCTAATATGATCATATACTCAGCATACATACATTTCATTGGGTCATATACACTCTAAATCTTGAGATACACATGTACGAGAATAGCTACTTGTTGCTTCTCCTGTAGTCAAGGCCAGGTGCCCGGACCTGGAGCATTCCTTCTCTGTCCTCAATGAATTGTCATAAGCACCGCATAATAAATTGTAAGTCCCGTTGCTACGTATTTTATGTAGCAAGGAACCATACCAAAAAGAGCCATACATATAATCATGCATGCTGGCACGCAATGCAGTAATAATGATCTTAAGCATGCATGCATATATACTAGAGGCACGTACCTTGAACATCATCACCATGGCCACCATGGCAACCTGCACGAGCTGCTGCTTGAGGACGTTGCTGATGACTTGTCGCTTCGACACATGGTTCTTGCTATCTTCATGAGTGCTTGGGTGCAGCCTGTATCTGTCCATAAACATGGACTGACCAAGCGTTGCATGCAGGCCACAATACGCCCAGTACACCACGATGGGCACAAGGACAGCCAGACCTTCGTCAGAGAGTAGTAGCTCCATTTGTGCGTGTTAGCTTATTTGCTTGCTGTTCGATCGATCGACGTACGTACAGTGCAGTGTGCTATGCAGGTATACTGACTGATGTGTGTCGATCTTACTACCGGAACGTCTCTATATATAGTCTTGCTCTCTTAGACTTTTATACGTATGCCAGGGAGGACTGACGACAAATTATTTGCATGCAGCAACGACTGACGACTCACGACTGGGTACGTTGCCGTTGCTTACCTGTGTCGTCGTGATGTGACCACAGGAGGGACTTGGCTCACTTGACTTTTATGCGTGCCAGGTAGGATTTGGTCCGTATGCACATGCGTTTTAGACTTAGGCCCTGTTTACTTGCACCCCAAAATACCAAAATTTTCAAGATTCCCCGTCATATCGAATCTTTGAACGCATGCATGAAGCATTAAATATAAATAAAAAATAAAACTAATTACACAGTTTAGACGAAATCAACGAGACGAATCTTTTAAGCCTAATTAGACTATGAATGGACACTAATTGTCAAATAACAACGAAAACGCTATAGTGGCGTTTTGCCAAAAATTTTAGCATCCAAACTGGCCCTTAAGAAAAGACAAGTAGTAGTGTAGACTAACTTACCTTGCTGGACTTGGACTATGTCGATCACAATTAAAGGTGACACATTTTCGTTGCAGTTTTTTCTGTGTTGCTTCTAAATAACCGTGAGCCGTTCATTTAATTAGATCGGATGGCCAGTGTGTTCCAACTTCTGTGAGAGGCTACATTTATTGTGTTTTAGAAGCCCCTTTTAATTATGTGACTTAGTTTTAGTCAAGTTAGCGTAACTTACAAACTTGATTACGCAACATGTTTTAAATCGTTGAAGTTCATGTCTCAATTAACTTGTTAGGGGGTCGAACTTTTTTCGTACATATAACATGTTTTTTAATTGAGTATATATAATGTGATCGGTGTACAGTTTTAATGTAATTGGGTATCATAATTTTTTTGTCACTTTTAAGGAAAAAATATATAGATAGACTAAAGTTAGTAAAGTAATAAAATGTAATATGATTAGCCATATTAAAATTCCACTCGGCACCCCATGTGGGAAGTCTCCTGGCAGCCAATGCAAACGGAAGGGTGCAGCAATGAAGAGGATCGCGTGATGAGAGGGATTTCAACTTCCGCTTAATGAAAAACATGCCACGGCACGATCACGAAAAAAAGAGAGAAATTTCAAAATATTTCTTTTTTCTTTCTTAGATAAATTAATTAATTAATTTAAAAAATCTAAAAAACAATGACTCAAATTTGTTTGAGGTATTACTCCATAGTAATTAAGTAAAGCGAGTACCATAGCATTGCCCGTTGGCCGTTGCAGCTAGCGTGCATATACGACGAACGAACGAATTGAAGCTGGTCCATGAATCTTGTGTGGCATGTAGTATACGTTCGGTCTTGGCAGACGTGACCGGTGACCTGCTTAGCTTCTGCTTTGCAGCTAGCGTGCATATACGACGAACAAACGAAGCTGGTCCACGAATATTGTGTGGCATGTAGTACGTTCGGTCTTGGCATATACGTCACCGGTGACCTGCTTAGCTTCTGCTAGCTACGACTGTGGAGTTATCAAAGTCATCGCCATTTTCACAGAATCACAGCGGGACGGGTGAGAATTTGCGGCCGGCCAACCCATTTTGACAAGACGAAGTCAATTATGTATAAATGAAGACATATACATCACCACAGTTGTCCAATATAAGTCTGGCCAAATTCAAAAACATTTAATTTAGCCCAAATTTAGAATGATATTTTTTCGGATAGAGACAGTGGATTTTGCGCCACAGTAATATACTCCACATGTCCCAAAATAACTGCACGTCTTATTTCTCGAGAAGTCAAATGTTGTTAAATTTAACTACATATATAGAAAATTGTATCAATAATATATGTATCTCTAAATAAGTTTGTTGTAAAAGTATATGATGCGATCAATCTCATCATACTTACTACGCATCGTAATACTAGCATCGTTTTATATATTTGATTAAATTTATAATGATTTGACTCCTCTAGAAATAATGTTACTAATTACGACAAAAGGAATCACATATCCATCTATTCACGAAGACAATTATTATTATTTTGGTTGGAGTACATGCATAGTGCCTCTGAGCAACTCTTAGATAGGAGGCATCGGCAGGGGTTGCGATGTAGGAGGGGTTTTGAGGCACGGAGGCGGTTGGGGCGTCGGGGGTACCGTTTTGGTGTTATGCTTGCTCAGACATGCACTGATTAGGCGACATGGCGACCGTCCCTCCAGCGGACATCGAATGAAGCTAGAGGGCTGTGGGGGCTCAAGCCCCCCCCCCGCTTCCCGCTAGAGCTACATATAGTTAATAGAGAGGGAGGAGATCGAGAGGTAAGCTCCACGTGTTGCCACTACTCCAACACTTGCTGCAGAAAAGCAGTCTACCAGTAGTGGCGGTAGGTCCTCCATCTCTACCAGCGGTGGGTCCTCCACCAACAGCAACGAAAGCAATGCACCCGATGGGATGTTAAGGCCTCTCCCCTGCATGCGAGCAGAGCATTCTGACTGATTAGATCTCTGTGAAGGGACTGATGTTTGCATAACGCCACCAAGGTTTAGGTGGCTGTGGCCTATGTCGGCATAGCACCTTCGTGGGCACCGACGAGGCATCCAATAACGTCTTTATCATCAAGAACGACACCAACATCATCGTCCACCACGGCCTCGCCGACTAAGGCATTAACGATCTACCTCCTATAAATCAGAAAAAAAAGTTGGCTATAGAGACAGATAAGCTAGGGTTCAATTGTACATTAGAACAAATAGCTAGATCTTTCTCAAACAGCTATTGTCAGAGATATTGGTAGCTATAACGAAAGATTTAGAATCTTTAGAATTATCATGAAGAAATGAGATTGAATCACGTGGAATTGACAGGTAATTCTATTTTGTTGACTTCTCAACCACGATGTTTAATTTTTAGAGCACCTCTAGGAGTTTAGTATAATTTACTTGCTAAACTAATAGATCTAGCAAGTTGACAGGAAAATAGCAACATTACTGGCGACGACGTATGTCCGACGAGGAAGGGAACGGAAGCGGAGCGCGGGAATCGAGAGATCACAGTGCGTTTCCCAGCCCGACGAGGAAGGGAACGGAAACGGAAGGGAACTTGTTTTGGAAGGAGGCGACCGCGCGGCGGCGGTATGTTGGACACGGAGCAGAGTAGTCCGAGCAGTGCGTGCACCAACGGCCCAAGTAAGTTAACGACCCGTTTTTGACGGCCCAAGATCTGGATGCAATTTCGGCGGCTCTTGGCCCAGGCAATTCATGGGATTTATATAAAAAAAAACTTTTATTGTAAGAGTTTTATCTACCATTTCATTTTATTTTTTATTATTATCTATTTTTGTACACCAAAATCTGCTCTCTCCTTATGCCACGTCGCCAGTTCCTTTGGACCACACGATCCTATATCCCCTGCCATCCAACACTTCTCTTCCCGCCGCTATCCGCTTGCCTGCTGCCATGCGACCACCACCCCGAGAAAAAAGTTTTATACTAGGAGCTTTTTTTTAGCATAGTTTTATATTAGGAGCTGAGAGCTAAATAAGGGCTTGTTTGACAGGACTTCTCCCTAGCTCCGGCTCCGGCTCCTCCGGAGGAGCCCTGCTAAACGTTTTCCTGAAGAAGTCGTTTTCACTAAAAAGCAAAGGAGACAGGCCGTTTTGGAGGAGCCACAAATTGTGGCTTCTCCAAAACAGCTCCTGCTCCTCTAGAGGAGCCCCTCAGGAGGAGCCGTGCCAAACACCCCCCTAAACCCGCTTATCCTATTCCCTATTATATTTAAGTGGGGATCAGCAGAGAATCAATTCTCATCAGCTCCCGACTCCGCTCCCTCAAAAGAATCTAATGAAATCACTCCGTCGGAGAATCAAGGAGCAGAGCCGAAGAATCAGGGAGCGGAGCTCTCGTAAACGGGCCCTCATAAATGCATGTGTTGTTGGGCTTTAATTATATGTGATATTGGACTGTTGAGGTGGACATCTTGCATATCGAGATAGATTACCAATGGGGCCTAGAATTATAAGAGATGTAGATATAGATTAGTCCCTAGTTGCAGAGAGGTTTTATGCTCCACGAAAAAGAAATTTATGAATACAAACATAATGGCGGTGTTGGTGTGGGGGCCACATAGGGAGGGACAGCTAATGTGTTTGGTGCCACCCAACCAGCTCGTGTGGATTGTGGCTTAGGCTTTCAGAACTCTAGTCAATAAACCACCTTGCGTATGGAAGCATACTTATTTATCAGTTTAAATATATTACTCATTTCAAAATATTTTAAATCTTACTACGTGACAAAAATTTCAAACAAACCCATATATTTTATGTATTATTTATAATATCATCACAGTAGTATATAAAAAAACATGACCACATACTCTGCATACTTACACATACAACATAGTACTACTTCCGGTGATCTAATATGATCATATACTCAGTATACATATATTTTATTGGGTCATATACACTCTAAATCTTGAGATACACATGTATGAGAATAGTTACTTGTTGCTTCTCCTGTAGTCAAGGCCAGGTGCCCGGACCTGGAGCATTCCTTCTCCTTTGTCCTCGATGAGGAAGGGCATGTACGTCCCAAAAATCCTGTCCCACACCACGAAGAAGAGCTGAGAGTAGTTGTACTTGCCACCACGCAGTTGGTGGTGCACGTCGTGGTACGCCGCGCTGTTCCAGAAGCTCAGGCGATCCCAGTTGGGCAGCAGAGACAGGCCGCAGTGGTTGTCAATGACCTTGACGGTGCAGAGCGAGAAGAAGAAGATGGAAGCCCTCGGCGACATGCCGGACACCAGGAAGGCGGCCGTGCCACCGATGGTGTCAGCGACGAAGCCCTCGACGGGGTGTCCGTACAAGGCTCCGAAGGAGTAGGGCACCACGAGACGGTGGTGCCACGAGTGGAGGTTCCGATAGAGGAACCTGCTGGTGTGCATGATCCGGTGGCATGCATACTGCCACACGTCGAACCAGACCATGGCCACCGCGATTTGGCAGGCTAACTTCAGATAGGAGGTCTTCGTACTGATGGCGCTCTCTTCTTTGACCTGTATCCCAATTAAATTCAACAAAAATAGCTTGCTCATTATCATTGTCACAAGCACCGCATAATAAACTATACGTCCCGTCGCAACATATTATATGTAGCAAGGAACCATGCCAAAAAGAGCCATATAATCATCCATGCTGGTCCGCGCAATGCAATAATAAATTAATAATGATCTTAAGCATGCATATGTACTACGCACGCACCTTGAACATCATCACCATGGCCACCATGGCAACCTGCACGAGCTGCTGCTTGAGGACGTTGCTGATAACCTGTCGCTTCGACACACGGTTCTTGCTATCTTCATGGCTGCTTGGGTGCAGCCTGTATTTGTCCATGTACATGGACTGGCCAAGCGTTGCATGCAGGCCACAATACGCCCAGTACACCACGATGGGCACAAGGACGGCCAAAACTTCGTCAGAGAGTAGTAGCTCCATTTGTGAGTTTATTTGCTTGCCGTGTTCGATCGATCGACGTACGTACATGTGCTATGCAGGTACTGATGATGTGTGTCGATCTTACTACCGGAACGTCTCTATATATACTCTTGCTCTCTTGACTTCTATACGCATGCCAGGGAGGACTGACGACAATTATTTGACGACGACTGGGTCCGTATATATCACTACTTTTTTTTGTATACATGCATGCGTTCCAAACTAGGTAGGTTGCGTACCAGGTTGGACTAACAATTTGGAGCCAGGGACGGACCCTCAGGGTATGCAGGGTGGGCCACCACATACCCTGGGATCCGCCAGTCATAGAGATAGGTAGAAATTTTCAATGTAAAAAAAATAAAAAAGGAAACGATCGGCGCTTTGGCTTTCATCCTGGACTCTCGGTTCCGCGATCTCGCTAGCACCTAGCATGCGCGGACTCCGCGGACGGAGCAACTGCTGGGCAGCGCTGTGACACATCTCGAATTCTCGATCGAGGACGAGGAGAACTGGAGAAGCAGAGAAGACGACTAGACGGGAGAGTTGGAGACGGCGACGGCCGACGGCGATCCGCGGGATTTCCTGGCCGCGAGTCCGCGACGATCTGCTCCTGCCTGGCTCCTTCATGGCGACGCTGCGACAGGAAAGGAGAAGCCGTGAGCCCACGACGATCCGGTGAGGTGGCGACAGCGATCTGCTCGGCTCCTCAGGGCGACGCGCGAGGTCCAGAACTCCAGCAAGTTCATCAGCACCAGTCGGTAAGTTCCAAAGTCCAAACATGAGTCAATAACTCAATATCATATGTGACTATACTATTTGAGTTTCGCACGTTTGGTAGTTATAAACTATTTTTCAGAAGACTTGTTGAATGATGAAGAGAAACGACGACATTCGATCCTTTTTTTGCAAAGCAGCAAAGAAGCCGGCTGCAGCTGCTTTGAACCCTACAAACATTTATTGAGCGGGATATTTTCTTTCAAGTTGATGAAGATGATATAATTGAGACATTCATGTCATTGAGAAAGCGACGGATCAATAAGTAATATTGTAAGTCTCTTATATGGCTATATTTTAAAGTATTTTGTATTTCATTTGAACAATTTATATGGTTTTAGAATATGGTTTTACCGAATGAGAATATGGTTTTACCAAATTATATAGGGAGAATTATTTATTTGGCACGGAAACAAATCAGTGTTTCGTATTTGGCACTCGAAAATTTGAACTTTCTTATCTGGCATAAAGTTGAAATTTCCTTTTGTAAATGGCACTGCCGTCCATTTAGGACAGTAACGGTGTCAAGTGACCGGTAAAAAGACATAAATACCCTTGTTTTGCAGCAGAAATCCACGGTGCCAAATAGGGAAGTTCAAGTATTTTCGTATGGACGATATTGCCGGAGCTCTTGCGCAGCCCCGTGCCATCGCCCTGGCGACCCGACGCATAGACCCCGTACCAACGTCCCCGCATCGCCGCCCTACCGACTGAAGGAGGCAGGACGATGGCGTGTCGCTGTCGTGGCCCCGCACGCGAGGTCCGCTCGTGCTGCTCCCCGTGCGAGGTCTTCCCGTGCCGCCGCGGCCTCGCCGTGAGCTGGCTCTGCCACTCGCCAGTCATCGCTGGACCTGTGCACCGCTTGCCGCCATCCCTGGGCGCCAGCTCGTAGCTCACTTTGCCGCGTGTTCGGTGCTGCCCTGCGCGCGTCGCAGCTCGCCTCTTGTCGCGGCCTCGGGGATGGCGGCGGCTGCATGGGTGGCGTGGTTGATCGCCGGCTGGCACGCGCCCTGGTACACCACGTACAAGGCTCACTACAGGGAAGCCGAGTGCATGAGGGTGGAGATGGAGGAGCTCCTCTCACGCCACTGGCGTCGACATCGTCTTCACCGCCATGTAAGCCTTGCCCTTGCGCCTCTCGATGGAGTGAAGAACGATTGAACACGGTGGTCTGCGTGATCGATGTCCATTAGGTGCACGCGCATTTGAGCGGTCGAACCGGTATTCAACTACACACCGGACGCGGGGCCCCGTGTACATCTCGATGGGCGACGGCGGCGACGCGCGACGACCCGGCCATTGCCGGACCGGCGTCGACGCCGGACCCCTTCATAGGCGGCCGCCTCTGCGCGATCAACTTCACGACGCCCCCCCGCCGGGCGCTCTGCTGGGACCGCCAGCCGGACTACAGCGCGCGTATAGGGGAGCAGCCGAGGCGCGGTGTCTTTGGAGGTGAAGAACGACACGCATGCGCTTTGGCGGTGGCACCGCAACCAGGACCTCAACGCCAACGTCGCCGCCGACGAGGTCTACATCGTCAAGGAGCCCGACAAGTGCCTTGGGGATGGAGTGGGAGTCTTCTGTGTTTCGTATTTAGCGTGGGAGCCCGACAAGTACACCAGACGAGAAGGCAGCGAGCGAGCTGCCGAGACGCCGCCGGTCTCGCGTGCAGGGGCCGGGGGCGCTGCTGTCGCGCAGATGGTGGTCAGCCTCGCCCTCGGCTGGCCATGGCAACGGCGAGCGCATGCGCCCGGAGCTTTGCTCCGCCATGGCCGCGCGAAGGTGAGCATGGCCTACATGAGCACGCCTCGGAGCGCGCTGACGCTGGCCCCAGCACGGGTACGTGGCTCGTCGAGCAAGGCCAGGGGCGGCCTCCCGCGGGGTGGCCTGCTCGCATCCCGTGGTGGTAGGAGAGTCGGGGCTGCTGCGTGGTGGTGAGCTCAGACACGCCGTGGAGGCCGGCGATGGACTGCGTCGCGGACCTCGTGGAGACCGGCGCCACCGTCATCAGGCTGGGCTCACCATGCGGGCCCAACCTCACCATGCGGCCGATGCCGGATCCGAATGCCGGGGCGGAGCTGACGGAGTCGGACTTCCTGGCAAGCGTCACGCCGGTGACCGAGGCGCTGGTGTTCATGTCCATCTCCTCGGGGCCGCTGGGGCTGATGGGGACAGAGGTGTACCTGGGCCAGCGCCCGGACATGGAGTAGTGGACGAGCGAGCGGAGCACGGAAGCGCTGGCGGAGTTCTGGACGAGGTTGGAGGCGGCGGAGACGGAGACGGGCACGCCTCGGTCGAACTCGAGGGCGAAGTACACCATATCCGCGGCGGTGTCAATGGAGACGAGCACGTCCTGGTCAAACTCGTGGGCAGCCTCGTACAGTTGCCCAGATCTGGGATGCTGGGGCTCGGTTTCGGTTAAATTTCAGTCTTACGTAAACAGAGGGGTACATTGGACAAAGAGAGAAAAAACTGACAGTCAACTAACAGATAAGCAATGAAAATGGACGGCAGTGCCAGTTAAGAAAGAAAATTTTAACTTCATGCCAAATAGAAAAGTTCAAATTTTTTAGTGTCAAATACGAAACACTGATTTGTTTTGATGCCAAATAAATAATTCTCTCAATTATATATGGTTTACCGAATTGCATAAGAATTTTTTTTACTGCACATATCCAGAGGTAAAAACCTAGGTCCGTCAATGTTTAGAGCCATGCAAAAGCTTGGTCCGTATATACATGCGTGTACACTTATTAGGCCCCCGGTTAATTTAGCAACGAAACACGTTTCTGATTCTTGCGAGATTAGAATCCCTGCCAAACAGAACGTTTCACTCGAGAATCACTAGAAACGTTTCTCATTTTTATGCCTAGTAAGGAGAAACAGTACTAGATACCCGATGGTTTCACGTAATTCTAATTCTTGCCCTCCTTCTATATTAGCAACCATAATTTTTTAGTTAATTATTTTCAAGTGAAATAAGTTAAAAATAGGTTGTATTTAAGTTGTTCTTTGGCCACAAAAAGTTCTAAATTTTTTCAAAGAATATTTTTATTTTATTATGATCTTTTTATGGTTTCGATTCGCTACCAGCCAATCAGTTTCACGAAATGATTCTGATTCCTTACCAAAAACATTTCTGGAGAGACTCTGGATTCGAAACGTTTCTATGAGAATCTGGATCCTATCAAACACATGTTTAAGAAGATCCGTGTAGACTAACTTACCTGGCTGGACTTGACAATGCATCCGTTTGGATACACATGACTAGTTACTAGTTGGGTTAAGATTGGCTAGCTAGCTGGCAAACAACTAGTTGAAAACTTGGCTAAAAAGTTGCTCATTTATTAACTCTCCTGTTTAGATACGCTAGAGCTAATTTGAACTAAAATTAGCTAGCTAATAATTAGCTCGTGGTATCAAACATGCCCTTTTTCGATCACAACGTACTAAAGGTGACAGCAGGTCGGCTAATATACGGGTTGAGTAAATATTATTTACAAATTGTTTTTAATAGGTCAAATTTCATACTGTTCTGTATCGACGGGTAAAATTTTACATCTGTATTCACGGGTAACATTACGCTTGTATCCTTATCTATCGGGTATGATACCTGTAGGTTATCTACATTTAGATTGTCACTAGAATAAATAAAATCTTTTGTGTTTTTTTTTATCGGCCGGTATTATTGTATACATACTATATCTATGGGTAAATTTTTTGTATCCGTTTTTCCTAAAACGATCGGGTGCAGTACCCACAGATACAATTGCCGTCCCTGGTTACAATGTACATTTTGGTTGCAGCTAGCGTGCATATACGACGAAGGAAAGCTGGTCCACGAATCTTGTGTGGCATGTAGTGGACGTGTTCGGTCTTGGCATACGTGACCGGTGACCTGCTGGGAGCTTAGCTTATTCTGCTAGCTACGACTGTGAAGTTATCAAGTCATGGCCATTTTCACAGCGGGACAGGTGAAACATTTTCGGCCGGGCCAACCCATTTTACGAGACGAAGTCAATTATGTACGATCACATTTCCGGATGTGATAGTAGTTTATTTACCTACCATCTCCTTGTCCTACTCCTAGAAGAAGACGAAATATAGAAGGCCATTTTCACAGCGGGACAGGTCGTCTGTTTGATGATTTTTGCTGTGGTTTTCTCGCTCTGTTCGCTTGAACTTATAAGCCTGGCTTATCAGCCATGGTATAATATTTTTCTCTC